ACCCGTTTTTCAATGCCTTCAGCGAATTTTGGTTTTTTCGATTTCCATTCGCTGGACAATTTCAACGTCATATTTAAAAACCGACGTGTCATCACTAGTAATGGTGCGTTTGATGAATGTAGAGTCCTCAGCTACGTTGTCAACCACCTTTGCGGCGACTGCACGACTTTGCTTTATTTTTTTTAATTAAGGTATTTTGTTACGATTTTATATTCACATGCTTCATGCTGAAAGCTTTAACCAAAATGTATTGACTTGATCCATATGAGATATTGAGGTCTTTTTTATCTCCCTGAGGTCAACACGTCGATTTAAGCATTGTTTGTTTCACTTTTCCGATTGTCATTCACTGAATGCTTTGTATGCTCGTGAAAAAGTGGGCTCCCCAAACACTTCTGTAACATCGCGGCTACGAACCTTGTGTCTGTTGGAAACACAAATTCAAGCAAACTAGTTGTTTTTTCCGTGTTAAAAATCTCCGGATAATTTTTTCGCGTCGTTAAAGGGATAACATAATCTAGGAAAATCCTTTTTATCACTATTTATAAGGATGAATCCGATTAAAATTTAATCAGATGGTTTTTTTTATAATTTTTTTTTCAAGTGGTTTTTTATTATTATACTTTTGAATTCGTTTGAAAATCTCTTGTTAAAGTCCAAAGAATTAATTTAAATGAATCAAAGAGTAAAGAGTTTGTTAATTATAATGTATCTGTTGAAATCATGTTCACACTCGTTCAATTACAATTGTATCTTATACATATGCATGTGTAATAAGAGAACTTATGTTCTTTTTTTAGAAGATAATCTGCATTTCGCTGATCACCGTTGACACTTCTGCGCAAACACCGAATGATTATGGCGAGGAACCGCCCGAGGGATACTACGCATTTGTCGAATCGCCAAATTCTGTACCACCAAAAGTGCGACCACCGCCCTACACGCATGTCAGTGCGGACTGCAAGAATGTAGGTGGCAACAAAAAGGCAGCTGTTTCGGTTAACAACATTTGTGGTGATCTAAACAAAGGACAAATTCCGCAAAATCCCATGAGACAGAATGTTCTCGGCGAGCCGTATCCATTGTAAGTTTGCATTGCATTATTTAGATTAAAGAGGAAAATATTGAAAACAAAGCATTTTTGTAATTGTAGTGAGTTGATACGTAACCAGACACTCAAGTTTTTATCGAAAACATTGCCTGTGCTTAAAGCTGACGATACTTTGCCCAAGGTGACACAAATTGTACGTGACGAACCAGTCGATCCGGTGGAGAACAACAATATTGACCGTCACTATAATGCACGAGCAAAACGAGCCACGCCTCCACAGCCACAAAGCCAGCCGCGTGTCGAGGACCACGAATTCAGTTATTTTGATCCTGCTCTAGACGAAGAACAGCGTGCAAATAGTCGTGCTTCCGAGGAACGAAAGCCACGCAAGTTCTGCGATGGCGGTGGAGTGTGAGTGTACATCCTGATATATTTTTGAATAAAAAAAATATAAATAATGATACATTTTTGCAGCTTTTGTACTTTATATCGGGCCATTCAAGGCGATACATCGACCGCACCACAAGCCACAGCTGAACGTCGTGAGGAAATCGGTCCGATACGTTATGAAGGTCCACCCACACCATGTCCTGCCAAAGTTGAATACGCTACACCAGTGTTCGCGAAAAACTATCAGGGCTTCTGGCGTTACGTTGTGCAAATTCCATACGAAGGCTATTTCACGCAAACCGTCGAAGTGACTCGCTGCATACAAGCCCGCTGTCATTACTTGGACGGCGGTTGTCTATCCTCGCCGCGTTGGGTGAGCCTACTTGTCGCTGAAATTTTCTACCCGAACGCAGAGGACGCCGTGCCGACGACTTCAACGACCACGCCAACGCCTTCCGTGCAAGACTTCCAAGCTTACCAGCAATATCTGCAAAGACGTGCCGGCGTAGCCACCGCCTCTGATGGTACCAGCCCAACCAGCAACGTCAACGCACCCGAATACAATCAGCACTGTGATGGGCACGATGATATCGGTTGTTTCCAAGTGCGTTTGTACTACGATTGGTTCCTTATTCCCGGCTCATGCAAGTGCTGGCGCCCAGACTACTTTGCCAAATATGTGCGCAGAAAGTCCGTAGCGGATTTGTAAACGGATCAGCAGTAACGCAAAATACTCACGTACACGTTATCTGTTTGAAACGGAAAATCTCAAAAGTCTCCAACTGGACTCATTTACCTATAATCCTGTCTTCTAATTTAATTTTTAAGCATAAATGCGCGACGCTCCGTTGCCTTTATGAATTAGTTTAATATTAAAAACTGATTGGTGAAGCTTTCATTCTAAAATTCCAGCTCAATACTATCTGACTACAAACATTATATTTTCCAGATACTTGGAATTTTCAGAATTTTAACTTCGCAGCTACTAATTAATATTCAATACCTAAATACTAACTAATTAGTTTAAGGTCTTATTTAACTCTATAAGCGTATACATATTGCTCACAACCGTTGAGGTCAATAAACTGAAAATAGGGAAGGTCAGTATGGTGCAGTTGTCTCGCTTACACGTATCTCTTTCTATTGAACCTGTGTACGAGTATTTGACGAGTATTTGAAAAAGTACCCCGTTTATGGTATTACTTTTAAGTTATTGTAAGAAGCAATTATATACTTAAATATAAATATTAAATAACTGTATCTTTACCTTTATCTGATATTCATAATAATTATAGAAATATAAAACAACTAGTGTAAACAAAAACTGACTTTTATTTGAAATCACAAACATTTCTATACAAGCCATAAGTGGTGTCGAGATTTACCAAGTGTGTTCGAAAATTAAGGAGACTTTTTTAAATCCCCAGTTCTGTGTGTTTCAAATCATATATGGAACAACATTGTTTGGGAGCGAATTTTTTACTAAAAGCTACACCCACCACCTCTACGATTTTTTTCTTGGCGAAACCAAAGAACCTCATGAACAGAGAGATTTGAAGGAGCTATCAGATATGCTTTGATAATTGGAAGACAAGATAAAAATCACCACGTCATTTGTTTTGAAACGCCTAATAACACCTTAATGGCCGAGACTCGGTAACCAATCCGTCACTTTGTGGCTTCTAAAAATACTGTTATGCTGAAGAAGGGCAAGATTAGGGAGAGGGGGGAGGAGGAGATCGGGCACAAATCCTTCCTAGCCATGAGTTCTTAGAAAGGCCCCGCCATTCCCACGGCAGTCGGGTGTACGTAACCGGAACAGTGACCAAGCAGCACTCGAGTTCTCATTTTCTTCCTCTGCGACGCCATATATCTACCGGTCCACGTGAAATATTAATGTTTCTGACTGCCACTCAGGAGAGGGTAAGACATTCTCAAATATCTCCTGTCATCAAACAAAAAGTCGTCGCACTCGTAATTCGGCTCCCACGTTGTTATTGACTGTCATAACTTCGCCACATCGCCACTCTCGAAATCTAACMCAAATAACTCTTGCCAACAGGTGCTACTTCAGGCTGAGTAGGCAATTAAGAAGTAAAGTCCTCTCTCGACGAGCAAAAACCAAACTCTATAAGTCACTCGTTTTTCCCATTCTGCTATATGGTGGATGGTATGGTAGAGACATGGACGATGATAAYATCTGATGAGYSGACGTTACRAGTTTTCGARAGAATGGTTCTGCGGAAGATTTATGGATCTGAAGGATCTTGCTACACTTGGCATATGCAATTAATCTTTATTTACACAAATTTTCAAAAATAACTGTCACAACCATTACATTATAACTAACGCGAATTATCAGCAACGATATAATATATAAATATTATATAACTAATCGATAAAGCTGAAAGATATATGCTCTGAATAACAATAAAATTAGGCTCATTATACTTGAAGTTTGTTGGGGTAAATCAAAATGACAATTCATCCTAGACCATAATCTATTTTCTTGTGTTCGTGTAATATCTGCGGAACTTGACTTCAGTAAATAACGGAAAATAGAGACTTGACGTTTTATTATAGTTGAGTAATATATTTATCGAAGGAAAAATTGAAATTTCTTTATATTTTTAAACTAAAAACATTACACTTGAATTTGACCAACAAATTGAGATAATGTCGGCATGTATGCAGAGATTAATGCCGAAACCAACGAATAATTTGCAGGGGTGTGATCTTTCTCAGCACAAGTGAGTAAATATGTAAAACTGAAAAGCGGAAAAAAAGATGACATGCCTACTAGCAAACCTCATGTAATGTTATAATTACTGTTATAAATAAAACAACAAGTAAGCATTATAGCGTTTAAGTATGTACCGATATGTGGTAGACGAGCGCATTTATAGTGATCATGACAAGCAACATTAAGGTAAAGACTTGTATTAAAATTGTTGAAATAACTGTGAGGCATAGATGAGCCGCACCTAGTATAGCTCATGCGCGATGTTTCAGTTCCCAGTAAACAGTTGCAAGTTAATATCACATTTTTACAGAGCATGCACAGTTCCCAGAGCGCTGCACCAGCTTGAACGCGATGCGCTAGAGAAAAAAAAAAAATATGTAAATATGCGCGGCGCGATGCACCATACTCGAATTATGATGTAAATGCTTGTACAATGTGAGGAAGGGAACAAAAACAAAATCGAGGCAGCGATGATAACTGGAAGAGGCAAAAAACTAGATTCGCATGCGCTCACAGGTAGCCTTAGCAGCTAAAAGACCCACAGCAAACCACTGTGGCTATATGCAGCCGCCAACAAACCAACTCAAGCAATAACAAATTCCACTAGTGCGGCTGAGGCGTAAATTGTGCTGTGAGCCGCGCACACATGYACCAAGTCGACATGCAGCGWCGCTTTTATGGACGCGTGCGCGCAYATTTATTGCATACCAACTTGTCTTGCTGTGTTGCGGTGACGCACCGTCGGCTATCTGCCGCAGTCTGCATGTTCYGTCTAGCATTTTTTGCACCTTTTTGACGAGATTTGCTTTATTGACTTMTTCTGCGCAGCCAGCCAGTCAAGAACTGTTTGAAAATAGATTAGGAAGCTAAGGAACCTTGCAGCCGAGCTCACTGCGAGCGCCAATGGCACGGACATGGCCAGCAACCAGTATTCGCGGGCAAAGTGGCATAGCAAAAAAAAGGTAAATCGCAGCGCGCCAATGCTCTGAGTTGGTTGTTTATGATGACGACGGCGGCGGCGGCGGCGGCGGCAGTGGCAGTAGTCTGAGTAGCCAGAGCGGCAGCGGTGGCGTGCACATCAACGTTAACAAGTCTGGGCGAGTTCATAGTGTATAGTGAATTTCGACTGCTCTGCGCGTACGGATTGCATTCCATTAAAAACACTGTAGCGCTCGTGTATTCTAATTATTAAAATAAAAATCGCAAATAATTTAAATCTGAATTTTTCGAATAACGAAATAAACTGTATGTTCATATGGAAAATATTATAAGATCCCTTTGAAATTTTGCACGTGGAACTGGGAGACAATTTATGTGGTGTTGTGCGCGCAACTTGTTACATAGCTCGCAAGAGTGRCGACAAAAAAAGCGGTTTGACAAGACAAGTTCGTATCTTTAATCTTTTGTTTTGTTTTCATCTCGAAATATGTACACACCACATTTCGGCCGTTGATAACTGTGGCAACTTGCGACCTGTGTATCGCACGCTATTAAATTATTAATTTAAATTAATTGTTGAATTAATAAAATTTGAAGCGAAAAGCGAAAATCCATTCTAAAGTAAAATCTGTTTGTCAGAAATTCGCCAGTGTGCTGTTAAATGTTGAAAGATTCGAATTTTTACGAACAACTTGTAGTGTTATCACAGCAAAGGCTTATCAGCAGAGGGTTAAGCATCAAATATTGGGTAGTCAAAAGTATTTTCGTATTTTGTCAATAAATGTGGTTGAAGTCGTAAATCTAGCATACTACCCATCACATTGTATCATATCATATAGTGTTCATTTAACCAAAAAAAATTAAATTCGGGAAAGTTGAAAGTTCAAAAATGAGTGAAAATAATGGAGAAATTCGCCATATTTTGAAATTTTTGTGAACAAAAGGAAAGAATACCACGCAAGTCAACAGTTTATGGAAAGACTTTTTAGACTACACAATATTTGTACGAAGGTGGCTCTATAACCCCATAGCCTAGAGAAGAAAAATAAAATTGGATTGCTGTGTTGTACCGTCGATTTATTCCTCAGCATAGTCTCCTTTTAGCTTGCCTTAGAAATGCTCCAATATATGTATTTAACTCGTCTGAAAAGTATATTTTCTGGAAGTCTGCAAAGTAGGCTTAAACTAGAGAATCGCCAGATAGGGCAGCAGTTCATAGGCTAATTCGACCAATTTGGCAGAGGTGTCAACCGCTGCAATGCTGGAATACACTTTTTGCTTCGCAAATCTTGGTCTTTCTACTGCGATTCGGCATCGACTTRATAATTCAGTATAGTAGTGCACTGTGGCGGTTTGCTTTTTTACAGTTTCTCAATATAGATCACAGGTTTTATGAAAAACAATGACCTCACCTTTTGGACCGATATGACAGTTCTCRTCGTCTTCAGAGCAGGCTCTTCGCGTGCTTTTTTTTAGGTTCTTTTTGTAATTGAAGGAGGGAAGAAGACAGTAAGTTAGTGCTTTCATGCAAAAAGCAAGGTCATAGGTACATAATACACGGTTCGTCCGGAAAGTAATAGAACTGAGTCCAKTTAAAAAAATTTAATGAACCGATTGTTACAATTCTTTAAAAAAAAATTTCAAAATTGATTCCTTCTGCGTCACATTGAAAGCGTCACGGAAGGCATTCTCCGAAATAGCCTTGAGAGTCAAGGTGCATGCTGCTTGGATCCCCTCTGTGGCGGATGAAACTTGAACGATTGCCTCTTAGTCTTGGGATCATACTCAAAGATCCATAACTCGTTAGCTGTGATTACGTTATTCAAAGATTGGGGGTTCAAATTTTCTTGGCACTGGCAGTGGGCGGTTTAGGGACCATATTTTCGCCTCGGCCCTCCAAAAAGTCCTGGTGCCACCGAAACAYACCAATTCTTGCTATAGCAACATCTGGGTAAGACTGCTTGATCATATCAAATGTCTCTGTCGCAGATTTACCGAGTTTCAYACAGAATTTAATAGCGTACCTCTGCTCTAACGAACGCTGCATTTTCGGTTTGCACCACTCATAGAAACACGTCGCGCGAAAATGTTTGTCCTGACTCTCCAGGTGCTCGGAGACAACTGACCAGCCGTTCGCTTGCTAGGAACGCCCTCAACCGAATRCAGTCGGTTCGCGCAAGCTCCGAAGTACAGTCGCGGCGGACGAAATCAGACCTGTTACGTATCGGACAAACTGTATACARTTATGGTTCTAAATATAATATCGCAGATAATATTTCGAAAACTTTACGAAATAAGATGTATTTATTTTTAAGCAATAATGTTGTGCTGATATTTTCGTTTCATCGAGATATTAAAATGAAAAAGCTATGCAAAGAAAAGATCAATGTTCACACTATTTAGTTACAAAACGAAAAACGTATTTATTTTTAATTTCAGTTGAATTTTTCCTATGTTGCGACACAATGGACCAGCTATGATGAACACAGCGAACAACAACAAACTCAAAGTAATGAACACTAACGGTTGTGTTTCAACATCCGGCAGCCCAATGGATGCATTGCCCAAACAGTTTGTTGCTTCAATGAAGACACTCTTCGACATATTGGACGACCAGCACACAGGCTTTGTAAGATTTTTAGACATCGAGAAAGGTTGGCAAGACGATGGCTGCAAAGGATTACCGCACGGTGTTATTGACTCGCTGCGCAAAGTTACGCCTACAAGTGGCCTCTTGTCATTTGATCGTTTCTGCGCTGGTTTGAAATTATGTCTGTTACGCAATCAAAGTACTGCCATCAGCAATGCATCGTCAGGCGGAAACGATGTGTCGACGCATAATATGGTCTCACCAATCAAACCGCCCCGACCGCCCTCTGCGCCACTTTTAGATGTTGATAGTACTGTGCATAGCGCTACAGCCTGGGGTGGGAACGCCACAACTGTMGCTGTGCGTCCAAATAAAATTGTCACTTCACATCGGGCACTCAGTTTACCACAGTTAAGTCCAGACTGCGATTTGGAGGCGGAAATAATAAGCACTGATATTGGTGTTTACAATTCACCGCCGCCACCACCGAAACCACCACGCGCATCCGCTACTGCTCAGATTGGWGTGCCAAGTTCGACAGTTACACCGCTGGATAAGGCTGAGATACGACATGCTTTACAGAATTGGCAAATGGGTATACTATTGAACGAAATGGGAACAAATGAGAAACGTAGTTCTGGATATATGTACAATCAGTTCCCGTATCGAGGTTGTGCCGATGGCGGGTCCTCATCGACAACTGATAGTGTTACAGGGAATGTAGGAACTCTACATCCAAAAAAGAGCAATTCAAAGCGAAGAGAACCCCGCCGCCATACACTGCAGAATGGCATTGAMTACAATATGCTAAAACGCTTGAAACAATTCGAGGAGGAACGCGAAGTTCTCTTAACGGGTTTGGATGCTGTAGAGAAGGCACGTGACTGGTACCTCCAACAAGTAAACAATGTCCAAGAAAAGATTAAATATTTGGGACGAATGGGGCACGTTGTGAGTAACGTCATAATCAATACAGATGTTATTTYGTTGATTTAATTAATGTATTTATTATATAATTGCGTAGGAGCAATGGTCAGAAGTGCAACAAGAGCGATTGGAATTCCAACGCGCACGTGTGTATGAAGTAAATCGAAATTTAACAGCTCTTGCTGATTGCTGGGAACGCGGAGGATTTCCCTTACACTTTAACCTCGCTATTAGGCCATCGGGTAAAGCACCGAGTCAGCGAAATGTCAATAGTGGCGGGTTATTTCAACCAGTGGATCGCCTGCGTCAACAAAATCATAGCCTTACTAATGAGGTGAACTTAAAAAGTGACCGAATTGCATTGCTAGAGCGTGAAAAACAATCACTTATGAGGGAGTTGTACGAATTGAGGCAAAGGGTTGGGTTAGTTGGAAGAGGTGCTGGATTTGTTACTGTCCTAGGTCAATCGTCTCCTTCGTCGTCTGGAGGGCTCGGAGAGGTGGAYGTCGTATTTTAATTTAAATCATAATATAAATTTTTACCCTAAGAATATTTGATTACATAAATAWATAAACGGTCATCTATACACAATGTACATACACTCAACATAAAAGGTACATATTTGTTTCAAACTTTAACATGACTTGCAGCAGGTGTTTTATTAAATCACTTAATTATTACATAAACAAAACTATGCTTATTGCGGATTAGGAAATCGTCTCATGTACTTGTTGAGTTGTTTGTAGTTCAAGTTTTTTCCAGGTGTTATTATACCCTGGTTTACGGTTTTCTTTGCTTCGAACTTGGAATCTGCATAGAATTTATAACATTTTTGGAATTGGTGTATTTCCTTATTGCAGTACTTCTCTACGAATTCATTGTCTTTGAGGCATGCAAAAAGGACACCCATTTCTTGTAAACATGCTACATCAGACGAAGAATCCGCCTTGCCGCTCACTCTATTTTTTAGCCGCAAAGGTAGAATTTCTTGAAAAGGTACTGTGTGTTCTTTCTGCGGCGCACGAGCATCACGATTTTTATAAGCGAAGACGGCGGTTGGCACACGCATTTCTAGAACCAAAAATAATAAATTACGAAAAATGGGTTGACTGTAAATGAATCATCTATTCATATCTTTAAACTTATCAAACATATACCTTCTTGTATTTATTATATATGATGTTCAGTTAAAAAATGTTTAATTTACTATTCTTTGGTTATATGAACACAGAACACAACAATGCTGCCAACCCGATGAAAAAACAGCTGTTATCGGTTGAATACAGTGGCGTATAATAAAATAGGAGCGATAGTAATACAACGGCTTCAAAACATTTGCGCTGCTTTTGAGCTAYGAATCAAACATGATTTACTGATCAGTTATATTTTTATGTTATTAGTTTAATGGAACACCCGATATGATTGTCCATAATGCAAAATAATATTTATACATATGTATATATACCCATTTAGCGAAAAATGAATTTTCATAGTGTTCTTGAAATTTATATGCATAAAGAGCTTTTTATATCGAAAAAATAATGCCAAGATATTTCTAATATAATTACTTTTCATAAATTAGCTGTATAAACAAAACACGTTACAACAACTAAACCTCTACTGTTTTTCATGTGCTGCCAAATCAAACCACCATTTAAGATATGGCAGAAGTTCATTCATTCAATRAAACAGACATCATTTGACATTACTACGAAAGCGTAGCTTTGAACATATTTGTTTTCATTTCACAGCAATGAAAAATTCGTGAAACAGATTTTAAATATTGACAAAATAATAAACATCAAAAGCCGATTTGAAGTTAATAATATGAGTAGTGAAATTTCAATACCGCGACAAGTTTCAACTATACCTGGTACTGCGCAGATGGAAGTCGGCACATCTCCATCCGTGCCAACAGCTTCATGCGCTTCACCGGGGTCTAGCAAGGTGTCGTCAGCGGAAAATATACCTGCCGGTAATACCAATAATAAACGGCAATTAGCCCGATTCCATCCATATCACGGCGCAAACATTATTTTATGTGAAGATAATACAGTTGCTTACCGAAAAGCTAGTTTTGCGGATGCTGTTACGTTTTCGGAAAAACCACTACAACCTGGAGAAATATTTCTTGTTGAAATTGAGAAAAATGAACGTGGATGGTCAGGTCATATAAGACTCGGTTTAACACAATTGCTGCCCGACGTGATCGGATCAATGTCAGAAGGCTTGCCACAGTTTGCTTTACCTGATTTGGCGAATTTAGGAACTAGTTGGATCTATCCTATTTCAAAATTCGAATCTCATTCCTTATCACAGCGAAGTGGTGCCGCCGGCGGTGTCATAGAAACTAATTCGCTGTTTCAAAATGCTACCGAGCCTGTGTGGGCACAAGATAATTCATCTGGCGCTGTCACAGAAAACGAGACCACATCTCGAAGTAACATTTTATTATAAACAACTATATACAACATATAAAACATTTACATCTTTAACAGGTAATATATTAGGAGATTCGATTTATGTACGCACTTCACGTGGTATGGTTCCAAAGCGTTTATTGCGCCCAACTGTTGATAATGGCGATGGCAACACAGGTATTTTGCTGACTGATAAGGGCTCGCGGATTGGTGTCGTATATGTGCCTACTGAAGCAGATAAAGACAAAGGTGAGATGCACTTCATTATAAATGGAGTTGATCAGGGTCCATGCACAAAGGAAATACCTATGGACAAATCACCACTCCACGTAGTCATTGATGTTTATGGCACAACGAAACAAATTCGAATAATACAACTTTATGGAAGTAAGCATATATTATTAAAAGAGATGTAGTGTTTAGAACTAACAGTTTAATTTCTCATTTATTTCATGTAATTAATCAGTCGTATCCCTTCAAAACGCTTGTCGAGATGCAATACTACTACACACAAAACTACATAATATTGAAAAGTTGCCGCTGCCAGAAAGACTCAAAAACTTTCTTCGACGTAATGACTAGATGTATATTTAGCATATTTTTGCGTAGAATGACTTTGTTTCGAAGATCATCTAAAAACAGCAAATGAAAAGAGCATGAGTGGATGTGTTGTTAGGAAGTTTCTGTTATGCCAGTCTTCAAATGGTATTTAAGAAGTATTCACACAAATTAGAAAAGATGAATATGCTATATTTTACTAGGATGACTCTGAAATTCATGTATTTTTTTGGTGTGTTGCGAGTTTGCGGTGCGAAGATAGCAAGGATGTTGAATATATTGAAAGTTTTGTTTGTTGTTAACAATGATGTGACCTAAATCTATAACATTCGCCCGTATATAAAATGGGTTTAGTTTTAATAAAAAATATTAACCAACAAGAATATTTATACACAATTACTAATTATCAATGTAGTAGTTTACGCAATTCTAATTATTTGTTTAAAGTAAATAAATAATATTAAACCACAATTTGTTTTCTCTACACAGATACTGTTATTTGCGAATAACTGAAAAGCAACTTTCCAACATTTTACTAACAATTTTCCTCCCATACAAATGAATATGCTATCACTTTTTTAATGTTTTTTTTTTTGGGTAAAAGTGCCTTTTTATAAAACTTTGCTTTATATTTACAATTTTTAAGTCTGCCTTCTAAATTCATTATTTGTTGCCCTCTTCATTCCTGAAATCARGGTTTTATATACACACATCCGTATGAATGGGTCAGTAGATATTTCGAGAATTAATATTTCATGCTTGGCTACCATTGCGACTAATATCAAATGGATGTGCATATTAAACAAAGGCCATTTAAACTTCAACGTCTCACAATTTATTGTACAAGTATTATTCTGGTACTCTAAAACTAATCTTAAATCATTTTATGAAACGATTTTGAGTTTCGAAAAAATAAGAGTAATTATAGCGATAAAATGCCAAAGCCGTGATTACTTTTGTTTTGTGCGATTGTTGGTTAAAATTTCTTTAAAGACTCTCTTCAGTTCATCAGCACCATTTTGATTGATTTTTTGGTAATTAGGTAGTTCCGATAAACGTTTCATCCAAGCTAACAATTTAGGAAACTTGAACTCATCAATAGGGGCGACTTCGTCAACAGAAGTTATCGTTGCCACACAACAGAGATCGGCAATTGTCAAATCCTCACCGCATACATAAGGGTGTTCCTTTAACATTTCCTCCATGATTTCATACGTCTTCTGAATATAGGCGATTTTATCCATGGAGCAATCGGTTGAACCGGAGTATAGAATCGGCTCATAAAGAAAACGCAAACGTGCAAATAAATGTCCAGAATCAAAATGAAGACGTGCATTCACTTGCGCACGTTTTACCAGATCCTTTGGGTACAATTTGTCATCCTCTCCATACTTGTCCACCAAGTAACCACAAATGGCATGAGAATCATATACCACTGTGCCATCTGCATCTATCATAGTAGGAATGGTATGTTGTGGATTCATTTTAATGAAATCGTCTGTTAGTTGTTCGCCTTTCAGTAGGTTAACTGGACTGTTGAAAAAAATAATGAATAATTAATTTACTTAACAAACGAACACTTAGTATTAAATTTATTCCTCAGAGTACATACCGTAATTCCAAATCGAGGCCAAGTAAATTTGCTGTCAATAAAACAGCACGCGATGGTGGGCTAAGTGTAGCATAGTACAAAACTGGTTTCGCCATTTTATTCGCTAAAAATAAATCAAATACCAATATTATTGTTCTGAACACTTTTATGCTTGGCTATTTGTATAAACTATTGTAATAAAATAATATAAATTTACGCTTAAATTCCATGATTTTTTTAATTTTCCCTTATTACCTCTTAAAATAGAGAGTAATTGCACCCTAACTCATTATTGTACTGCACCAAAACCAAGTGAAATCGTTAACTTCGGTTGCATCGAAGCTGTACTACCCCTCTCAATAAAAAAAAAGTTTTCAGACAAGAACTTGACTGTCATCAGTCAGTTTGTACTTGTATGTCAGTCCTATGCTATAGTAATTCGATAAGAACGGTTCCGCCAATGTCCAGCTTCTTGGAAAGAAAAGAGGTTCAAAATTTCAGCATGATATTTCAAAAACTAATCGACTAGTTCGCGCGTTGCTTCTCGGTATCATCCGCTTCTTAGCAAGCTTTATATACCCTGTGTAGGGCACATCAAGTCAATTTAAAACATTCAAAAGCTCTCGTGCATGCAAACTTTTTAATTCGTTACGAACGTACACTTGTTAGATTATATACATGCAAATGTATGTGTGCATAAGTATTTACATCACACATCTAAATGATAAACAGTGAATGGCATGATATTACAGTTATACAGGAAAAGTACTATAATTTTGCACACAGTATTTATTATGGTTAACATATCGTTCTACTCCAACATTTCCTAGTATTTGATATTAAGACATAAATATATATATTAATTAATACGTATCAATCAAATGCATAGTAGTTTGCCATTAAATTATTGCAATGCACTTTTTTATTTTCAAATGAAAATTCGATCACCTCTACACTTTGAATTGTTCTACAATAATAAACCGTATTTAAAGCGAGGAGGAGAAACAAAGAAACAGTGGAAAATTTTGTTAATTAAGCATTTAGTTACTTACTGTTTTCCTGAATAAATCACTTGGCTAACTATGATTTTTGATGCTCCTTACCAAATGAGCGCACTGAAGAGACTAAACTTCCATAAGCTCAGTTGTCTAAATCCAGCTATATCAAGTGATATTACTAAGAGTGATCAAAATATTATTACTGATATACAAACACTCAAGTCACATACAAATTCATATACACAAATATGAGCTGATAGAAACTCAACCGGCGTAGAACGTTAACGTTATGTCATCAAAAACAATACAAACAATAATAAAAGCTTTGTAGTTTACCACCCAAATAGATTTATCTTGCATGTATGTTTATGTATACAAATAAACAATAATTGGAATATTAATGATTATCTCTTCCAAATTTCATTAAGTACCCAATTTAAAATACATTTGTTTGGTTCTACCTTCAAGAAATATTTATAATTTGTAATGAAAAATAATATTTTGCTTATACGAGTATGATATATAGTTTATATAGATATATTATTATTAAATATTTACGTGTATAAGAGCTTTTTAAGTACAAACACTATCTGCTCTTTAAAAGGTTTTAATTCATTTTTTTAGATCTTACAGTGTTATTATTATTTTATTTTTTGCTTTCATGTTAGCATTTTTTATTTAGAGTATTCATCAATCAGCCTGTGATATGTTTTGCGCCGCACTAATTAAAGTATCGTGGATATCTTTAGCCGATTGCACATGCACACGGACAATGTTCAGATACGTAGAGTATGTCATTGGACCGCCAGAATTATCCTGCATGTATGGTTCCATACGAGCTGGCGTCACTGCACTCGGCAGATAGTGTTGTGCAGATGATAACTGTTGCATACATTGAATAGCTGTTTTTAAATGTAACTCGATTTGATCACAATATGCATAAAAGTCTTCCAGATGTTTTTCAAATCGTCCAGCATGCGATGCTGCGTCGCGTTTAAGGTTATCTGACAAATTATGTTCTTGCAACGAGAAAGCTCCAGTACGCAATGTAAGAAAAAGAGACTCGCGTAATGGCGAAAGTAAACTCTTGACTTTTAGGATGTTATCCATTTTTTCAGCTTGCTGCTGTTGTTGTTGTTGTTGTTGCTGCTGTTGCTGTTGCTGTTGTTGTGCGGCATTTGAAACTTGCGCTTGCATTTGGCCTTGCATTTGTTGCTGGGGGGAGGCTTGCATCATAGAAACTGGCGACACGCCAGGCTGCATCATTTGATTTGGTCCACCGACTTGCGAAATGTTCATCTGTTGCATGTTATGCATATTCATGTTGGGATTCATATTTTACTTTGTGAACTTGTCTTTCTTTAAACTACTTTAAACAAAACAGTATCTTTTGTTGTAATGATTTTATGCGAGACTTTAATGTATTTATATTAAATGTAACATCTGTTGACAGAGTTTAATATCTTAAAGATGATAAACAATAAATCGAAAAAATTACACAAAACCAGTGTTGTAAGTCGATAAAATCATGACATATTAAAATGATCAAAAAACTTATTTCAAAACTATACTTTTTTGTTGTAAAAATATGAACATATAAATGAAAATTTCAGATTTACATTTTAAATAAATAGGGAATTTTCATGGTACATGTATTAAACATTTAATGTTTGTTGATAACAAATAATCGATAATATTACATAAAGATGAACGATCACGTACACAAAATTTTTGGTTAAAATTGTCTATCATTGAACCACAAACATACATTTTTAAATAGCGTTGTTGGACTGGTGACTTAACCGACGTTGGCTTCCAAGGTTGTACATACATGCTATGAAAGTTTCGCAATTTATTGCTTACTATAAAATTTATAGACCTTGTAGACAGTTGAAAAGGTCCTCAAGTTATTATTTTGTATTTGCGCGATTTGAATTTAAGATCTTGTTAAAATAAATTTGACTAAACTTTTAATAAATTCATAAAAAAATAAAATGAGTGACTTTCTTCAATCTGAACTGGAAAAGGCTGAACAATGCCTTTTGGAAACTTATGAATTAGCTGAATCTTATGGGGATAATGGTATTTAAGTTGTTTAATTGCAAAAAATACGCATTGAATATAATAAGTTTATTTTGCAGAGGAAAAAGATAAAAGTAAATATTTGCAACTGATGGAACAATTAWGTCAAATTAGAGAAGACGCCATTCGTAATGAAGACACCTTGAAAGTAGCTATGGAGGAACGTACCATTGCGGATTTTGAATCCGCCTTTCATGGAACAATAGGTCGTGCTGGTAAAAAATTTCAAGCTAAAAAAACTCGAGAATATAAAGCTTTCTCTGATCGTTTGGAGGACATATCTAGAAGTGCAAGAGGCGATACTTTGCCGCCAACCACAAAAAGAGACGGGGCTTTAATAGAAATGGACATGCAAGTAAACATAAATGATCCCATAACAAAAAAGCGAATGGTAGATCCTGTAAAAAATACAATTTGTGGGCATATCTATGAAAGGAGCAGTATACAGGACGCAATACAAATTAAACCAACACTTCGGTATTAAATATAATTTGCTTATGGTTCAAAATATGTATATAAACTAACCTTTTTTTCAGTTGTCCTGTTGCTGGCTGTGGGAACAAACAGTATATTAATATGGCACATTTAAAGACAGACAATGCACTAAAATTACATCTACAACGTATAGCTGAGCGTGAAAACCACAACGATTCTGATACCGATGTTTGATTTACTTTACGTTTTGGTGATCAATGCAAAATATATTAAGCAAATTTTTTAAATGTTTCGCATGTCGTTTTTTTATTTCTCAGATAAGCAAAGTTTAAACTTAAATGATACATTTTTATTTATAGAAGACGTAGGCGACAATTTGGTGCACCACATTGACAATATAGTACTTTTCCGGGCACTACGCCGACTTCATAATTATAATTCCAAGTCAGTTCCGTACCAGCCCGAATATTAGTTGAGGAAAAGAATGCTACCCAAGGGAAACGCAAGTCATGGGTATCAACAAAAACATTTTGTACGAAGAGATTGGGGGAACACGAGTGCTGCAATTAAAGGACAATGTCATGAAGTGTTTAGCATAGGTTGAACGAAATCGAAATTACATTAAAATAGCGTCCAAGATTTCCTATGGTTTTTGCGTCCATTACATAACACGCCTCATCTTTTCCAAATAGGCCTCGTATAGATCTAAAAAAAATGTTATGGAAATTCTACAATTCATAGACTATTTAAAACTATGATCTTACGATTCTCGTGTGGAGTCTTCATTCATATCCGCGTTAGGATTAAAATTAATTACTTGACGTTCCTGCGAGTCTTCGTCGGTGTTTTGTGTGGAACTGCTACGTGTCAGTTTCTGTGCCTTATTTTTGGCGCGTGTTAAGAAGGACTTACTTGGTGTGAACTCATCATCATCTTCCGGATCTGGTGCATATGTATCCTAATTATATGTGCATACAAAATAGTCTCATTTAATGAACAAACATAATTTTTATATCCAAACCTCCTCTTCCTCAATCTCCGGGGGTTCAACGTCTGATTCGTATCCTTCCTTTATTTGCTCCGCTACTTCTATGTAATCTAATTCTGCGAAATATTCGTCGCCGGCATCTAACCCACCCTAACGACACAAATTTTAAACAAACATTTCTAATAATTTCTATATGTAGACTCTTACTTCATTTGCTTTTGCTTCGGTTAGCAAGTGACCAGCGTATATGCAAACAAAGCTGCCTCTGGGCACATCGTTTATGCAACGCAATCCCCATCCACGATTTGATGTTTTAAATACTTGAAGTTTCATAGCTAAATTCTGCTGTGCTACACGATTTAAGCAATTCGCTTTGCATTTACACCTAAATATAATTTTTATTAATAACGGTAATTTTTAACATGCATGGATACAAACAATTGAGAAAACTGACCTTGAGTTACATTCATAAATTCCTGTCGGAACGTGCTCATATAAACGCTTATATTGATAACCGATTTCTGCCATTGGTGTATTTGGGTTTCCATACTTAGCGCCTGCATAAGTGAGTTGCCAACATGAACACTTTTCTTTATCCTAGAAGGAAAATTGGTTTTCAACAAATATATTTGGAATTACAGACAAATTATTTTGGCTAACTACCGAACAGTCTCCTTCGCAGTCACAACCAACCAAAAATCCTGGGTCAAGATTGAGATTTACACCATCTGTTGGTATACGTTGTGCAGCGTATTTACATTCCGGTGGCAATGTATTGTCATAATAGTTGACTAAGGGTATCGCCATTTTTTCTTGGCCGCCTGAAATATCCCGTTTTTGTACAATAGCTGATTCGATTACATATTCCGCCAAACAACTGGTCTCATGATGGAAGTCAAAATTATCAACGTTTAGTGTGTTATCTGTTACACGAAGGTAACGACGCACTTCCTCCATATTGCGCATAATTTTTCCACACGGTCCACGGTATGCCACTATTTTTTTGTTCTTTAAGCGCAGTATCGGTCTTTCCCAACCAGAGAGCAACGGTTTAGACAGTGGACTGTAGGCGCTGAGATTATGCGGAATTTTAAATAAACATGATGAAGAGCATTTATGAACGCGATATGTTAATGGTGGCAAATCTCGTTTAGCAGTATAGTAGACAACCTAAAAATAAAAAGAATATCCTTAGAATACAATTACGCCAAAAATACAAAAGAGCATCATACCTTTCCTTTTGGCTTGTTTTCATCTTCCAGATAAATAGTAGAGTTGTTTAAGTGACGCACTGTGGGTAATGACGTATGCGCTTGCGCGCTACTTGCTGTTGCCGAATCTGTTGATAAGCGGCTCACGCTCTTTTTAGCAACTGCCCGTGGCTCAGTGGACGACACACGTTCACGTTCACGCTCCTTTACTTGCTCCTGTTGCGCGGTAGTTGCTTCCTCATCGGCGGTGTAACGAATAAATGGTTCAGTGCGCTAATGAAAAAAATATAACAATCAATTGACAAAGTGGTGCACATAGTTATATTTTACCCTGGCCAGTCGTGGTAAAGGTAGTGTGTCCTTTTGTAAAGTTTTCTGGTACTCCTTAAAAACTGGTCCCAAACGCAGCGATCCTCTATAAATCCACTCCGTATGACTTTTTGGCCCCTCGAATTGCATTTGTATTAAGCTGCAATCAATATCTACAACTCGCGCATAAATCCATTTGCCATTTGATTCCGTGGTCATACTTTGCCCTTTCTGAGTCTGTACCATTGGCCGGTTGATGGAGTATTGTGTTAGGTATTTTTGTATAAATTCTCGAGATGCAGGATGTACGTCCTCCCAAACATGATCGGAAACGTTGCACACCAAGCGAACATCTTTGTGCGAAACATACTGGGTGTAACCGTCATCATAGAATATTAAATACCTAAAAGTTATGTAAACAGCAATATAAAAAAAAAAAAACTAAGAATTTTAATTTGAAATACCGATATTTGTTGTTCGGTTTCAAAGGTTCTGCAATAATTCCTGGGTAAAAAGCACTCTGTATCATCATCTTTTCTTTACCTCGCGACAAAGAAGTGGCATCGAAGTAAGCAATTACACGTGAACCTTAAGGAAATGTATTCTGATGTACAACAAATATCGTAAAATATTATAGGGTAATATTTACCGATGGGAAGACGGAATTTGGGAGGGTCGTAGTAGGCCAAATGTTTCGCCGACACAGTTTTCATCATTTGATATTGCAGCTTTAAAAACTTCACTTTATAATTCGGCACCTTTGAGTTCGAACCTAAAAGCGAGCTAGATTCTACTTGCTCAAAGACCTTACAGGGCACCCAACTAGCTATTGCCTTATTCTTCACTGCATAATAAATTTGATTAATTTCGATAGGTGGCCGTAAAATTTCTCCAACTGGGGGACAAGGCTAAGAAATGTGATAATTATTACGATTAGTCAGAAAGATTAGTCGAAATAATACAACTTACTGTGACTTCAGGGAATGAATAGGGTAAGTTAGTGTTCAAATCCAATGGTTGGAACTGTCGTAATCTTATTTTCGGACATTGGTAAAGTGAACTGTACATTTGGTCAGCCTTCCGTTGTAGTGATCGCAATAACTCATCATTTAGCTTCGACTCCTCTTCCAGTCTACGGGCACGGGTCTCTAAAATTGTCTTTGACCAAGTTAACTGATTTTGTATTTCCAATTTTTCAAGTACATTTTTAATCGAGCTTTCCAATTCAGCCTCTATTAGATCTAAATTCGCTGAAGTAAATGATCCTTTCACTAAAAAACATAGTAATCAGCAGGAATTTCATTATAAACATATAAATATATATATATACCCGTCTGAATTTGTTGCGTTGTAGACGTTTCGTCATCATCGTCGCTGCTATCTGTGATTTCCACAAACTCAGGACCTTGGACATTAATATTTTTTAAAAGTAAAGGTTGTTTAGCTTTCAATAAACCGCAGTATTCCTAGAAAATATTTTTGTGTAAATTATATTTTTACAAAAACATTTATACTTACCTCATAAGTGTCAAGAGCACAGTCATAACATTCTAGACAAATGTACTGCTTTTGGCTACGTCTCTTCTTTACTTTATAGTGGCTTAAAGCGAATTGGGGTACTAAGAAAAATTGCTTGTGCTTCCGGGCACAATCGTGATTGATACAGTCCTGGTTGTAGAATATTTCAATATGTTCCATATCATCGGACTCGCGTGTCTGTGGTGGTACTGCAGTTTCCATTAATAAATCTGGTTCCGTAACCGATTCTTTAACAGATGAATCCTTTGTGTTATCTGTAATTGTGCTCTCTTCAACGTGATCTCTATTTATACTGTTGACACTATTTTCGTGAGATAAAGCAGCAGCGGTTTTTGTAGTCGTAGATGAGGTGGATTCCTCATCATTTACTTTCTCTTTCTGGGTGTTATCTTCTAACCGATTTAAGTTTTCATTTTCATCTTCATCATCATCATCTATTTCGATTACTGGAATATAGGAAGCGCTCCTTGTTTCAGTTATTTCTACATCTGGGTCCTCCTCTGTTTTTGCTTCTTCATTGTCATCATCTATTTCAATGATATTTCCAGGTGCACACTGGTTGCGATCTAGTTTATCAATCGCCAAATTTTCATTGTTTGTTTCACTGTTACGGATATCTATACTTGACTCATTTGGATTAGAGTTACTACCTTGGAGAGAAGTTAAAGGTTCTTCTGTGTTTGTTTCATTAGGGGAAGATGGTTTTTCGTCAATTACGAGTGGTAATGATTCTTGGCTATCTTCGTTTCCTTCATCACTAACGCTTCCAGGAATTTGTAAATTATGACTGCTTATTTCCATAGGTTCCATTTGGTCAACCGTTTTGGGTTCAGACGATTTTCTTAGTAAATCTTTTTCTAATTCTAACTGTATATCATTTGTCTCTATAGAAGGTGAAAGCCCAATTATATGATCAGCTACCCTAATTTCTTTATTCATACTAACAACTTCATTATTTTTTGATGCTATGTCTGTTTCCTCCGTTAATACGGTTACCTCCATTTCTTCGACCTTCTCAGAACTTTTAGTACATTGTTCGCTTGTTCCTGCGATTTCCATTTTATTTATGTTTTTGCTTTGTTCACCTTCATTTAGAGGTTTAACTTCTTCAATAATACATGTCCTTTCGTCATTTTTATGAATGATATCGTCGGCTTTCACATTTTTGCAATTTTCTTCATTAACCATTTCGTTTTCCGTTACATCTGCCAATTGAATTTCATCCATTTCGGATTCTAGATGCTCTGTTTTTTGTTCTTCAGACATTTTTAACGTCTTTTAGTTGGTGTAATTTACTTTAGTAGAATTTTTCTATTTTTATTAATGGTTTGCGGAAWACTAAAATGCGGTATAAACAAATGTTATTGGAGTGTTGCCACACTTCTCTGTAGCACAGATAAATATATATATTATATACACAGTCAAAAAAAGGGGTTAGCGCTCTACTCAACATTCTTAACTTTTTCAAAGTTTAATCTAAAGTTAAATTAATATTACTGCAAAGAGATGCAATATATTACAATACTTGAAAATATATTTTATTTAATATTTTATTAAATTTTCATGCCAAAAATATATTATTCCGAATAAATTGTGTGATATAAAACATATTGAACAGAACCAAATTTAAAATTTTTGTATACCTATCAAATCTCGAAACAGGCAGTTGAATTATTAGAACTTGACTGTTTTTGTTTATGGTTAAAATAATTTACAATTCTGTATTTGTAAAAACTTCAACAATTTTAACGAAACCAAGTTTAAATTTAATATAAACAAAGAATTTTAAACATGGTAATGTCATCTCAATAATTTCGATAACAATAAAATAATATAAAAATCATGTCGAATGAAATACCCCAACTTGCGACAGAAAGCTGCTATCTCTAGAAAATGTATTGGAAAATGTTGTCGTGAAGTAATTGAATCAAATATATTTGTTAAATCTGAAATAAAAAGTGAATGCTACCAATTGTAAAGTTAATGCAAAGTTCTATAGAAGTGGGAATTCAAATTTGTAGGAAAGAATTCAATTAATTCAAGTTAAAAGCGTAGAATTAACTTAAAACCTTGATATAAAAAACAACGAAGGATAAAATAGAGGTGTGATGTCAGAGTTGCAACACTAGTTTATGATTAATGTGTAAGAAAATTTTGAAAATAGCTGGATATATTGAACGAATAACTTTCCTTTAATTTTTATTGACAATAGTGCTCGTATTAATAACATTTGCAAATTGTATTAAGGCTTTATTCAGGTTTATATTTCTCTTGCTATTTAAATATTTAGTTGCTACATTAATATTCCAATTAGATTGTTTGTGGCGTTCCAATTGAAATTAGACCATTTAAGCAACTCTACAGAAGTATTAAGGTATATAAGTGCGTTATGTGTGTTAAGACAAAATCGATTTACAACTGTCAGAAATTTTCTGTTTATCGATTTTGTGATAAGAGAATTTTGGAAAAGTTTTCTTCTTGAATGAACAGAAGTATCACCGTATCTTCATAGTACAGATTAATTTGCCGTTGAAGTTGTGTTGGATTGAGAAAGAGTACACTGGATTTAAATAATGAATTTAGATTTTGCGAAATTGTGCGGCAAACACGCTGCCATTTATGAGGCATATTACAAACAGGTACGAAGGAGGGATGACATGGAATAATTAGTTCTGTTGCGTACAACCGCTGTGCAGCGGATACGCCTATTGATTTTTACTTATACTTTTGTCGTGTTAAATGTTTAATTTGTGTTTGTATTCTTGTTTTCGAACTTCGTGAATGTGTAGATTGACCCAAAGGGTTCTGGTGCTATAGAAGCGATGACGGCTGCGAAATTTTTAAAAAAATCTGGTCTTAGTGATGTTGTGCTTAGCCGAGTATGGGATTTATCAGATCCTAACGGAAAGGGGTTTCTTGATAAACCTGGTTTCTTTGTTGCATTAAAACTAGTGTCACTGGCTCAAGCTGGTCAAGTGATAAATATGAGTAATATATACACGGAAACAGCGAATCCACCAAAAGTTGTAAGTACAATATTGTTAAATAATTTGTAAAATATATTACTGCAATACTATGTAATTTAGATTACACAACTGCATGTATTCCATGAAATTTATTTCGTTTTATTAATTTGATTTTTTTTTTATCAAATAATTGAAATGCATATATAGAAAAATGAACAAAAATATAATCTGATTGCTTACTCTTTCATTCACCAGGGTGATATCCCAAAAATTTTACCACCTCGCATACAAACAGTTCCAGTGGCTAGCGGAGGTACTACAAGTGGCGATTGGTCTATTAGTGTCATAGATCGTTTGAAATATGAGCAACTTTTCGAGACCCTAAAGCCCATTAACGGAATGTTGCCGGGCAACAAAGTCAAGGGTGTGCTCATGGACTCGAAACTGCCTATGGATACTTTGGGTAAAATTTGGGATTTAGCTGATCAGGACAAAGATGGTAACCTGGATAAGCATGAATTTATCGTGGCAATGCATCTTGTTTATCAAACATTGGAAAAACGCACTGTACCCGATGTGCTACCGCCAGAGTTGCGCAAGCCTAATTCCGGTGGAGGTCCACCGCCTAAGCCTGCACCGCCACTTGTGTCAAGCAATTCGGCAACGATGCCACGTGCCCCAAGTGGTGAAGGATTTGGGGATGGTGGTTTTGTGGCCAACTTTCCCAAAGATATAGCACCTCCACCAGCTATACCACCGCTGCCTGTTGCGATACCAACAATGACACGTGTTCCACCTGTCGGTGCAAGTGGTGTGCAATCACAACCGCTTATATCAACCGATCCGCTAATACCCATCGGCGCGCCACCTTCCGTAACAGYTAGTGCTGATTGGGTTGTTAGTCCAGCCGAATTGAAACGTTTTGAAATAACATTCAGAGATTCAGACCGAGACAAGGATGGACTTGTATCGGGGCTTGAAGTGAAGAATGTGTTCATACAATCGGGCGTACCGCAGAATTGTTTGGCGCATATTTGGTGAGAACAAAACAAAATGAAAATAAGYTTCACTATTTTAGTAATAAATATTAACATAATTCATACATGGTAAATAAACTTACTGCTTCGTCTGGCATTTTATGGCAATAATACAATAATTATATTTTTACAGGGCTCTTTGTGACACAAACCAGTCAGGGAAATTAACTCTTGAGCAATTCGCTTTGGCTATGTGGATGGTGGAGCGTAAACAGAAGGGCATTGAGCCACCTCAAGTACTGACAGCCAATATGGTACCACCGTCTATGCGTAGCATCGTATCTGGCGTGGATTTGCAACCTCAAGTAAATCGCATTATCGTATTTGTTTTAARCCTATATAATTTTCTCGTACACAATTCGTAAATAGGAACCTAAACCGACTTATTCTAATCCTGAGTTAGAAATGATCTCCAAGGAAATCGAAGAGCTTGCCAAGGAGCGCCGTGCTTTGGAAACAGAAATTGCACAGAAAGAAGCAGATATACGCATAAAATCGGGCGAAGTTCGTAGCCTACAGGTTAGCAATATATATATGCGTGTATATTAGCAAATTTTGAAATTGAAAAAAAAATTTATGTTTTTAGAGCGAGTTGGATACATTGTCAGCTACATTAAAACAGTTGGAAAATCAACGTGGTGAGGCACAGAAACGTTTGGATGACTTGAAAGCCCAGGTAAATGCTGAGTCTCTCATTTACTGCATTTAAACTTTTAAGCTTTCTTGCTCGAAAAAAGAGTAGTCAATAATTATAAAAATTTTATTCAAATTACAATATATAAATATGATTTAAATTGGAATTTATTATTTTTTTATTTCTTTCATATGTGAAAACATTCAAAATTGCTGCACATATATTTCTAATTCTTCTTCGACGTGCGTGTGTGCCTTGCATTATGCTCCTCATTTCTTTGTACCCTCCAACCAATTTTACTACAAAAAATTCCAAAAATTCGCATCATTGCTCGAAATCGGTTGACAAAATTAACAAAAAAAAAAAAAAACATACTCATTAGAGCATTGACCGCCAAACGGTACTAAAAAACATGACTTTAGATATAGCTCAGTTAAGAGTGCAGGTTTGTTTTATTATGATTTTGCTATGATTTGTTTCGTTATTGTTTCGTTTATTTCGTGTTGTTGCCTTACAATTAGTCATACATTACCTAATCACAAAAAAAAAAAAACATTGCCAAATATTATAATTGACTTTAGTGCTTGTTCGCATTGCACACTATAATTGGAGTACAAAAAATATGTAAATTGTAAATTGGAAACAAGTATACGTGTAGTTAGCTTTTTAACGTCTCAACTCAAAATGTAAGATATTTCATTTCATTTTAGGTGACAAAAATACGTGATCAATGTCAAAAACAAGAGGAAACCATAAACGAGCAAGAGGGTGAACTAAATGCAAAGCGCTCTGAGTTGCAAAAATTAAAAGACGAGGAGTCTGCGTTGCAAAAGGAGTATGATCAAAATAATCGAGAGCTGCAGAAGCTAACACAACATTTACAAAATACCCAATTACAAATAAGTTCGGTAAGAATGTATAATTGTAAAATAKTTATTTAAAATGCCTAAGCTTGTATACGTATTGCTTTTGCTCTCACCACAGGTACGCTCGATGGTAACACAATTACTGGAAACTCAACGTCAAATGACTGATGCATTGTTGATGTGTCGTGCGGCCATCTCAAATCAAGACGCAGAGTTGGTGTCCGAGTATCAATTAAAAATCGAACCAGACTTCAATGAAGCGCGCCAAATACTTGAAAAGAAAATAGAGGAGCCAAAAGCGGACGATCCATTTGGGGAAAATAGTACTGTAGAATCAGCAACGAAAACTACAAACGGATTCGCCAGTAATGGCTTTGGCAATGATCCTTTCACAGCAAATAGCGGCAGTGCAACTATTGGTCGCAGTGGATTTGATGACAGCTTTACGGCTACAAGTGGATTTGGTGAAAGCGGATTCGATGGTTTTGGTAGCAATAGCGGCTTCAGTCAACCAGCAAAGGATCCCTTCGGCGGAGATGCTTTCGCAAATAAACCTAGTAATGCAATAACGCCTGAGGTACCTTAGACGGTTAATGCTAGTTAAAATTTATGCTTATATAATAGCTTATTTGTTAACATTATAGCAGCCGGGTAAAGATGACTTCGGAAGTGATCCATTTGCTGCGTTACATGCACCTACCGGACAGGGTCAAGTGTTAAGCCCAAATGCCCAAAAATCTGGACCACCACCGAGGCCTGAGTCGCCAAGTCCAGCTTTGCCACCAAAGAAATCGAAGGTGCCACCTCCGCGTCCAGCACCACCACGCCCAATGCAGGTG